GCTCCCGAGGTTGTCATTAGAGACAGGTGCTGCAGCAGGATGTTCATTTGCTGGAGGCCAGCAGCCCCAGGACCTCACTGCCTCAGCAAGTGCAGAGACCTTACAAGCACAAGTGGGATGCAGAGGATAGTCAGAGGCTGCCTAAGCAAGCATTTCTGGACAAGTGATACACGCAGACACAAAATGATAGAAGGGCACAATAGAGTTAAAGCAGGGCTTCTGATAACAACCTTCAGAGAAATCTATTTTTTGCTTGGCACTAAGATAGTATCACAGGAAAACACAACCAGCAGTTATTGTTTCTCTATGTCTTTTAATTACACATTAATAATATATTGCCATTCTCAAGCACCATTTAACCAAGGATCTAAGTGCTCCATAGGAGCTAAACAAGCCTCAGGGTAGCCTGGTGCAGTGGGGTTATATAATTATCCTCCTATTATAACTGAGCAAGGGAGGCAGAGAGGAACAAAGTGACTTGCCGGGGGTCATAAAGAGTTGCTGTACAGCCAGCAAGAGAACCCAGCAGTCCCAGTGCCACCTCCTTGCTTCTCAGGTATAAAATGCATGGTTATAATATTAGCGGGTTTGGAAAGACCCGTTACCCTGAAATTACTCATGATAGAAAGCATCAGGAAGCAAGGGAAGGCACGATCAGGAAAAGGTTGCTGAATACCAGTCTTCCCACCACTGAGGGAGAGCCAGCAGCAATCACTGAATTTAGTGGAAAATGGCTGCAGGATCATGAAATGGTGCTCATTCACTCCGCTAAAAAACCCACCAGGTTGAGGAACACCCTTGGGCTCCAGGAAAAGCTCCCAAGGAAATAAGAGTGAGTGAAGTTGGTATTTTTTCCAATCAGGACCACGACCGTGGCTTAACTGTACCACTCTACTGCCCTTCATTGACTCTGAACTGGCTTGAAAGTAGGGGAACCGAAGTCATCTTTGAGCTTATGGGAAGCAGATGAAGGCCCTGCAAGCACAGCTGAAGAGCAGCACCCATCAGCACCGTGCTTTGCCCTGCAAGCTGCTAATTATGGAACGAAGTCCAACTATTTCCCTGCAGTGCAGAAACATACTGATTCTTACTTGATGTCCCAGATGTAGATGTATGTGTCAACAGAACTGGTGACCAGCAGGTCTGGCTCAAACACCGCCCAGTCCAAGTCGCTGCAAATGCAAAAACATAGTAGGTCAGCAGGGAAAAGCGCACACAGTTTGCATCAACTTCTCACAAGCCCCCAGTACGTTTCTCTGACAAATTCATGACCACTCCATGACATCTACTGAAACTTTTAAAGTAAAAAGTAAGATCTTAATCGTTTCTCTAAGTAAATTCCAAGAAGCAATGAAATCTTTCTAAGTGAATTCCAGTGAAGCATCCTCCTAGCCCTGAACTTCACAGCTATTGTGTGTGTGCTCTTTCCTCCACAGAAAAAGGGACACTGTCTCAGCGAGTTCCCAGTTACCACGCATTCTTGGCATCAACCCCTCACTCTGGGATGCCTTCCTGTTGGGCTCACCAGGTGCACCTGGGACACAAACAGCCTCCAGTCAGCCATTTCAAGGGCTGTGATTACTTTCCACAGTCAGGAGCTGGAGTAAAAACAGTCCTTCCCCTGCATTTCCAGCCCAGCACTAAAATACACCCCTAGAACCGGAGGCAGAAATCTCCCCAGTACCACTGTAACACACTGTGAACCTGATCTTTGGGATTACCTGCTTTAATTAAGCTGCTATCACACAGAAACACGGCTGGGATTCAATTTAACAAACATGCTGCTATCTGCTTCCCAGATGATGGCTGCTGTTCATTACTAGGACAGCAGTCTAAGGCAATGACACTTGAGCCATCAAAGGCTAAGTTGATATAGTGGGGGGAGCAGTGAGAGAGTGAACAGCTTCACATCTGATGTCATTCCCAAATGGAAAGGCAGGACAGAGGGGCGGACAGTACAGTCCAGAAAAGTGAGTAAAAACAGGCTCAGAGCAGAGCCTGAGCAGAGCCAGGACCGAAACATTCACCTTCTATGAAACAAGCCATTATTTTCCACCCAGCAGTCCACAGCATCGCTTGCTCCTCACCTGATCACACGTGTGTGTCCTTGCAGCGACGTGCAAACTTCACCATTACCTTCCTTCCACTTATACAGGTCAACTCGCTGATTGCTCTGAAATTAGATGGAAGGAAGGAGACAGTGTCAGGCGAACAAGGTAGGACAAGAATCCATGTGTCAGGACCAGGTTCCCCTCTCTTTGAACAACCTCAGTTACCAGTGAGTCACACTGGTTAGCAAAGTCCTTGCCCAAAGCAGGAGAGCCAAGATGAACCTACAGGCTGCAAGGACTCTCAAAAGTTTATGCTTTAATTACACCCACTTAAAAATGGAGATAAACAAGAAGGGGGGGGGGGGAATTCACACTGCAAAATGTTTCCATGAAATTATGTTCTCAGAGCTTACATTTCCTAACAACATGCTGTAACTGCAGGCAACAGGCAGCCAAATTCTGTCTGCAGGAACACCCTGCCAGTCTGTTCAGATGCACAAGTGGAGTTTTCAGTGAAGAGGATGATGGATCACCACTGGTCCTCCTCAACTCTCCCTCAGTCCCTTTCTGGGATAATCAGGGCCATTGCCAAACACGAACAATACAGTCTAATGGCTTCAAGGTCACCTCCTCAAGGGTACGTCCATCCTTGCCAGCCCAGGAAAAAAAGCCTTAAGTGCTTATCACTAACTGTAAACCACAGGAGCAAAACAGATGAATCAATGACAACATTATTTAGGGCTTCTTCACTCATTCCAGGAATAAATCCTCCCCCAAATGCAGCCGCACACAAAGTTACTTGAAACTAGTTATTGTGCTTTAAGTTCATGTTCTGCCTCAATCAAGGTTCACTTCAGCCCAGGCCAACTCTAATCCTTCTGGGGCAGGAATTGCCTTTTTGGGTGCCTATATAGCACCAAGCACCGTGGGTTTTGGGCCATGACTGGAAATTCATGTTGATTTTGCAAAAACAGAAATAACGTGACTTCAAAATTTGATCTTCATTAGCCCCTTGTTTTCAAACAAGGGATGATGGAAAGGCAGATGAGAAACAAGGTAGATGAGGGAAAAGATAATAGAGAAAAGACTTATTTTACATTTTTTGTGACAGATTTCTGTGGTGGTGTTTTTGGTCTTTTTTACCCCAAAGCTGCTTGATATGAATTTGAACTTGCAGATGGATAAAACACTCCAGCCTTCCCTGAAATGGAAGGTCTCCTCCCAACTCAGCAATAATATATGACATTTCTCTAATAGCTCACAGCAGGGCTGCACAAGAGCTCGGGGCAAGGAAAACTCCTTGCATGTTTCTCATTGACAGAAGGATTTAAGGGGGTAGAGTGAAATTACCCAACGGGGTTTGTCCAGGACCCCAGAGTGGAGGCTACAAGATAAGGACCACCAGAAGTTTCTCAGACTCTTAGTGGGGCATCTCGCATGGAAAGTGTTGCCTGTAGCACCAGGTGTGAGAGAATGACAGCTCCTCCCAGCACGATCTTCTAAAAAATGTGCTTCTTGTGATAAGTATCAGTATACGCTTCCAACAATTTCGTCACCCTCTTGTTCAAGCATTTGTGACCACACAAAAGAAATAACAAGGATCTAGGATGGAAAACAATGGCATTTCTGAAAAAACAGCTTAGAAGTCCTCAGAAATGTGCTTGAGCCAGAGGGCAGACACAGCCAAGCACAGCAAGAGGACATGTTTCAGCTCTTCTGGAAAGAAGCTAAAAAAATAAGAAGCCCTTATCCAAACACAAGGACAGATTTCCCCTCTGCCTGCACCACTTCCAATTCACAGCACTGCAAACCAGGTGAAGCTGTTGGCAAACAGGATGGTAGCCTTTTACACTCTCTTTCCATCCACAGGGATGCAGAGGGATAAGACCCTCAGGGCTATCTGCAACACTTGTGTGGTATACCTGAACATATGATGACCTCAACAGCGAACTCATGGGGGACTGACAGCCAGCTTGAGTCCAGAAGTAGCAAATCACATCTTTACAGTGCTGAATCCAAGCTGATTTAACCTTCCCAATGCATCTTTGCCCCCTTAGGTATGGCCCTCAAACACATCCACACTGCTTCCAGACCTGATCTGGGACACAAAGACACATGCTGTAAATCCGCTTTGCACTTCTAAACAAGACAGCCTAAATTCTAGTCCTAGGACAGGGCTGTACTGCATCAGTACCAAAATGCCAGCCACCTGTGAGATGGCTAGAAAGGAGGTGTTTCTGACCCAAACTGGAAAAGCTGCCTGATCTCATCTTGGGGATTCCTCACCTGACGTGCGCCAGCAACTACGTCTAAATCACCAGAGCATCTTCATTTATAAACAGGAGCAGCAAGGTTTGACGCCAGCTACACCTAGTTTCAGTCTGGAACAAGATGGGTTCCTGTGTCCGCTCAGGGCAGCAAAAGAGTGCTCAGACGGACGAGATGGGCACAGCTCCCCTTTGCAGCAGAGTCCTGCTCAGATCAGCATTAACTGATCACTGGATATTGCCTTCAGAGTGTGTTTGAAAAGAAGTTTTCTTGCTCTACTTGTGGCCTGCACAGCACATTTCCTGATTTGGTTTTGATTTTCACAGACTGTATCCAGAAGTGGCGCTGAAGGACACCTGTTTGTAAGTCTTACTAACTCTCCGCTCAGAAGCAGACAGCTGCTGAAGGCACCTTTAAGATGTCAGTCACGTACCAGAGCTGGGAGGAGACAGGCTGGGGAATGTCAGAGAGCAAATAGGCGAAGGCTCCTAACTGACAACACTGATCCACTTTTAAGACTGCCTTTAATTTCAATCGCAGCTAGTCCAGGAAGCAAAAGGAAGAAAAATCCCCAGAAACCACCTTCAGCTAAGTGTTTTATCAAAAAAAAATTAGATAAAACCTCTCTAGCCCCAGCTATTCCAGGACTTTCAGGCTATAAAAGCAGATGCAACATGGCAGCAAAGGCACCTCGCCATGAGAACAGTCTGCGCCCAGCTAGTGCTGGTTGCTGCAGCACTGTGGTTGATGGCTAAGACTGCTGCTAGCAGAATCTCAGGGCTCTGGATGAACAAGAGCACGATAGACCGAGTAAAAATCAGAGCTAAAAACCGCACTCAAGTCTCAGATGGCCACTACTGCTTCTTCAGATCAGCCTATTTACTTCTCCACAGGCCGAATAAGAACTCCTTGCTGACTTGGTCCCTGCCCACCTGCAAACCTAGATTGTTACAGTGGTGAGCCAGTATTGACTTGTGCTATTTACAGACTGCCTGGTGCACCACATCCCACCAGGAAGGCAGGGACATGAAAACAAAACAGCACAGAGCAAGAAATTCAATAAGTGTGCAAAATCTCATAACAGAATGGAAGTTAGAAAGAGAGCACATCCCTCCTTTCTTCCAGAAAAGGACCATATGGATGCCCGATTTATTTGGCAAGGCGTTTTATAAAAGATAAGCAAGCAAAACTAGATTCAACACTGACTGACCAATAACTGAAAACCATCAAGCCAAATAGCTCCCTGGCAGTAAATCAGAGTTAGGCCTTGATCTTGCAATGTGACTTGCAGGGGCATGCCTGTGCCAGCTCCGTACAGCCTTCCAAGTCTGCAGAAGTCCACCCGTGAAAGACCAGGGAAGATGATGAGCTACAGCTTTTAAATGAGTGAACTTACCGAAGCTGCAAAGTAGTATGCGTAACTGTCGTGTGGGTTCCACTGCACTGCCCCGATGTCCCACTTGCTCTGTCGGGAGATCTTTCGATGACCCTCATTTGGTGCATCCAGGTTGACTATGTAGAGGAAGCGGCGGCTGCAAGACACACAGATACAAAGAGGCTGTATCGCACAGGACCGATCTCAAAACCCCAAGCTCACATGGAGCTCACAGCCTTATGACTAGGAGACCACAAAAGAGAAGCATTTGACAAGACAGATGAAAACACTATTCCTGAGAACGCTACATTTGACCACATACTTCAAAAAGGGCTACATTTAAAAAAATATATGAAAAGACACATTGAAATTAGAGAGGATTTGCAAATGTAATGGGTAGCTCAGGCCACAGAAAACCCCAGATAACTGGGATACAAAAGGAAGCACTGGGAAATGGTGCAAACACATCCAAATACGCTTTGCTGGCCTAATGCAGCAGCAGAGCCAAGGTGGCACAGGGCTGGGGGTGCAACACAATAGCTTCACAGGAGCCAGCACCAGTCTGGAGAGGTTGCTCTGAGCAAGAGTTAATGAGCCTTGACAAACACAATATGATTCTACATGGCTGAGTGTTTCCGCACCACGCTGTTTGGGGGGCTTGGTTCCGCAGACAGTACAAGTACACCTGCACAGAGCTAGCTCAGCTGCAGCAGCTTATTAATGTGGGTAGACACAGCACTGCACTGATCTGGTTATATTGCTTACCTGAGCTAACCCTATATGCTGCAGAAATATTATATTTGCATGATGCTAAACCTGAGCTTATACATCCTGCTGGATGTGGCCAACTCCCCACAAAGCTAGGCAAGGTATCATTCCCTCCACAACGCGATTCATCTTACAAGCACAATAAACCGCCCAGGAATAATCGTGAGCCAGCTGAACTCTAATGAAAGACCAGCACCAAAACATATTGAACCATATATAATTAACCACACCAGCATCACATATGTCAGCTGCGTAGCAAGCATAAGCTGCTCTGAGCGCTGTGAATTTTCCCAAGAGAAGGAACACAAAGAACATCTTTGCTGCCTTTCCAGACCAAAGTCCTCAGGGCACCCTACTCTGAAGAGCAAAGATCCTGAGCCCTCTGAGGCTCTGACACAGCTTTAAAAGAAAGGAGGCAAACTCTGAATGGCTGCTGAGCACGCAGGAAAAGCCTGAAAAGCAGAGGGCCGTGGACCCAATGTTGAATTGCCGACAGGCTGTCCCTAGCTCTCTGTTGGCCCCAATAAGCAAGCTGTGAAACTGGGCAGGTGTAAGGAGGAAGAGGCATCAAGCTAGACCCAAAACAGCTGCTAAGCTGGTTATTCCTGCGCAGGGCTGCTGGACTAAGGGTTTACATGGAAGCGAGCGGGCCTCTGAGTTGTACCAAAGGACCTGTTTCCTCCAAGGCTGACCAAAGGTCAGCTGCACCCACACGATCCTGAATTTCAAGTGAACATCCAAATTGGTGTGGTAATTGTGTCACTGACAGTGGGACAGGAATAGCTGTTAGTACTGAAAGGCAGCAGCTGGGCAGGCAACTGGTGAGCTGTTTGAAGACTTGCCGGGGAGGTGGCTACACAATGCCAAGCCCTCCTGGGAGCTCTGGCAGCTTGGAGTCTATGGCACCTACTGCTCTTGTTGAATATCATTCTGCACTGAACCAGCAGAGGAGCAGGTGAGAGAGCTTGGCTCCTCTGCCCAAATACACCATGGGAATATTTGGGGCAAATTTTGTCTTAAGGAAATGATTTAATCTGTATTTCAAGCAGAATCCAAACAGTACTTCATGATGCTCCACCTCCCACAAGTGGATTTGGGAAAGCGTGCATCAGGAAAGCCTATATTTTATTGTGCTGTTGTTGCCGGCTTTCCACTCTGTATCCTACTGGAAATGTGACCCAGAATCCTCTTCATCAAGCCTTGAACAGAACTCAGCTGCACCTTTCTGAAACAATGCATCAGCCCTTCAATTGAGGTCAGCCTGAAGGCTGCTGATTTGGCTTGTGGAAATGACTGTCAAACATTTCTAATGGGGACTGTCACACTCACCCCGAGAGTACTGCGCGCTGTCCCAGGCAATCCACTGACATCGCAGTCGCCTGTTAAAGAGAAACAGAGAACAAAATTAAATTATACCTCTCAGGTCAGCTTCTCAGTCAAACACACAGCTTTGGGGAGGAGTTCAGGAAAACCTGTCAGCTCATCTTCAAGGCTTAGACTGCTACGGTAAGAGTCAAGGCTGATATCTGTCAGGGATGGCAGAAGCAACATCCCCTTAAAGAACCACAGATGGGTGACGGGGTGCAGCAGTTAATTTTGGGGTGCAGGATAGCACACAGAAAACATCTTTGTTAAGAGTAAACTGAAGACAAGACCTGGCAGACGCCATTACAAGCACTGAGACCTTGCTCCCTTCTCCCTGCTATGGCAATCACAGCTCCAGCCTTTCAATCAGCAGTTTCTAATAACCCATATTAATCAGCCTCTGCTCCTGCTCAGGAGCTTTCTCAGTCTCTCTCTCTTCCATTGCAGGGCCAGATTTAATTACATATGTACTGGGAGATAGAAGTGCAACCACTTGTGTATGGCTGGTCTCCAAAAATGAGAGATGGCTAAGAGACATCAGAATTTACTTTGGCACTGCTTGTAAAGAAGGCTAAGGGAAAACTTAAATGCCATAAGAAGAAAAAAAAAAAACCCGGACTGTTTGAACATTGCCTTCCCCTCTTTTTGTTCGGAATGGAATTGGCCAATCATCTCGTTTAATTGCCAAGAGAATAAAGGAAAATTTTACTTGGAAAGCTGAACAGTTCAGCCCATAAACATGGATATGACTTCAATGCAGTTTTTAGCGTCCACAGTACAGAATCAGAATATGCCCCATATTCTTCAAACTAACTGCTGTCATCTTCAAAGCTACCTCTCTGAAGGCTCAGGATGTCTCTGCTGCTCTTCAGGATTCTGCTAAGTACTCTCAGCGTGAATGTAACAAGACTTCAGGATGTCCCACAGCTACTACTTATAAGCATCGCTAAAACCAGACAGACAATGTGGCAATCCCACTCCATTTCAATCAGATTTGGCAGGAGAATAAACATCACAAAAACCTATTTTTTTCAACCAGGGCCCCACCCCCTGCTTGCATGTACCCCAGCTAAGGGAAAAACAGCATCACGGGCTCATTCTTCACTAGAGACCAAGAGTCCACATGGGAAAGAGCTACAAACACCACAGCCAGGAACAGAGTTGCAGCAGGAGTCCGCAGTAAACCTCAGGCCTACATCTATACCCCAACCATGCTGAGTTCCACCGCTTTTGCTGTTCCAGGAATGACCTGCTTTCATTGCTTTTTCCTACGTAGCAAATCCAGTCTTCTGGCAAGGTTTTCCTAGTCCTAAAACTAATACTGTAAATAAGAAGCCAGTTTTAAAATCGCTACATGGTAAAGAAATAATTCCAGCTTCGTAGATTTCACAGCACCTTGCAAAACAACAAAGTGGGTTACTAAATTTATAAAAAAGGCAAGCAGGAGAAGGAAGTTTTCCCAGATGATACACATTTCACTTGCAAGGAATTAAAATGAGATCACTAAAGCAATTCCTGGAACCAGAACTTTTTCATGTGATGAACAGCTAGTCAGCCGACATATTTCATACAGCTGTGGCTATCTTTCCTCAAGGCAGAAAAAACCCCATCAATTTAAAGTGATTGATAATTTCATATACGAGTTTATTTTTTCTGGTGTTGGCAGCAGGATCTCATAAATCCTTACAAATTGTTTTTAATAACGAACATTGGTAAACTGTTTTTCCAGGCACATCATAAAATGTAATGAGTAATTAGAATGAAGTAAAAAGCTTCGCATGTCAGGCTGCTGCTCTGGTAGGTCACAAAGAAAGTCGTTTTATGGCAATAAACAGTTCCCTATAACACTACAGTCTTATTTAGGCAACAGGAAAAAAACCCAGACAGCTGTCACTTAATGTGCTTGGTATACTGATATGTCAGCACAACCTTCCAGAAGGGGGGAGTTGAACCTGAACAAGCCAACCTGAAAGCAGTTTTTATCCCAAAATAACAATGAGGATAGCTAAAATTGCTGTTTATGAGTAACAATTATGTGAATAAGCACGGTAGGAGTATCGCACATTTGAAAACCAGCTCTGAGCCCACAGCCCAGGCAGCATCTTCTCAGACTTCAAACGTCTACTTTGGCATTTCACTTGATTTCTGCTAGGCAAGCCAAGGAAAACACCTTTTCATGTCTGAACTTACATTAGTTTTGAATCTAGCTTCATACTCTCCACCTGAAAGGCAATGGACCAACTCAATTTGCCAAGGCTATACTGGTTTTCAAAGGCTGCAAACTCTTCGCAAGAAAGACCAGTTCCCTGCATAGCTAACTTCCCATCTACACGCCAAGTTGCCACAAATGGTATTATTTCACTGTTGGACATGGTGAGCTTTACTTTCCTTTTGATAGCACGGACAGCCTGACAAGAGCCTGTGGGTCACGTCTAAATCAGAAGAGTACAGAGACTGCCACCTCTGTCAGCTTGTACAGAAAGATGACGTTTGTAGGCAATACTGGCCCCAAACTAGCCAAAGATTTTATGAATTGTCGGGTGCTGTAGTTTTCACACGACACACTCTGGCATGGTGAACAAGACAACTGCAGTGCTTGGAAACATGTACGGGCTATAAACGCAACAGCTGCCCACCCTTTTGACTCTTGTTTCCATTTCAGTTGGTTTTAGGGTAGGGATTTTGGAGACAGTGTGGCCTACAGGCAGAGCTCAAGCCCGGTATGGGATGATTACAGCCAAGGTGTTTCAATTTCTCAAGCTCAGGTTTCCCATCCGCAAAAATGTTCGTGCAGACTCCTAAAAAAAGCTCAAGCACGAATATATAAATGAGTTTAACCTGAAGCAGCAGTCTAGCAGCCCCAGCCACTGAAGCTCTCTGGTTTCATACGAGAGAGCAAGCAGGTCAGAACGGCTCTAGAAAGATCACACCAGAGTAAACCAAAGCGACCAAAATACCAGTGGTTAACCTCTCTATTAAGGTATACGCCTGCACAACAGCGAGATTGAAGCCAACTGCTGCAGA